AGACATTAAAATTAAGATGTCTGATATCTGTCTGGAGACATGACTGTTAAGACGTCTGATATCTATGTGTAGACTTGACAGTTAAGATGTCTGATATCTGTGTGTAGACATGACAGTAAAGACATCTGATATCTATGTGTAGTTATTACAGTTAAGATGTCTGATATCTGTGTGTAGACAATACAGTGAAGACGTCTGATATCTGTCTGTAGACATGACTGTTAAGATGTCTGATATCTATGTGTAGACTTGACACTTAAGATGTGTGATATCTGTCAGTAGACTTGACAGTTAAGATGTCTGATATCTGTTTATAGACATGACATTTAAGATGTCTGATAACTGTGTGTAGACATTACAATTAAGATGTGTGATATCTGTCTGAATATATTACAGTTAAAATGTCTGATATCTGTGTCTAGACATGATAGTTAAGATATCTGATATCTGTGTTTAGATATAACTGTTAATATGTCTGATATCTGTCTGTAGACATTAAAGTTAAAATGTCTGATATCTGTCTGGAGACATGACTGTTAAGACGTCTGATATCTTTGTGTAGACATGAAATTTAAGATATCTGATATCTGTGTGTAGACATGACAGTAAAGACATCTAATATCTATGTGTAGTTATTACAGTTAAGATGTCTGATATCTGTGTGTAGACATTACCGTTAAGATGTCTGATATCTGTGTGTAGACATGACAGTTAAGATGTCTGATATCTGTTTATAGACATGACAGTTAAGATGTTTGATATCTGTTTATAGACATGACAGTTAAGATGTCTGATATCTCTGTTTGGACATGACAATTAAGATATCTGATATATTTGTGTAGACATGACAATAAGATGTCTGATATCTGTGTGTAGACTTGACCATTAAGATGTCTTATATATGTCTGTAGACAATACCGTTAAGACATCTGGTATCTGTGTGTGGACATTACAGTTAAGACATCTGATATATGTCTGTAGACATTTCAGTTAAAATGTCTGATATCTGTCTGTAGACTTGCCAGTTAAAATGTCTGATATCTGTCTATAGACATTACCATTAAGATGTCTGATATCTGTGTGTAGACATTACCGTTAAGATATCTGATATATGTGTGTAGACATGACAGTTAAGACATCTGATATCTCTGTAGACATTACAATTAAGATGTCTGATATCTGTCTGAAGACATTGCAGTTAAAATGTCTGATATCTGTCTGTAGACTTGCCAGTTAATTCGTCTAATATCTGTCTGTAGACATGACAGTTAAAATGTCTGATATCTGTGTCTAGACATGATAGTTAAGATATCTTATATCTGTGTTTAGATATAACTGTTAATATGTCTGATATCTGTCTGTAGACATTAAAGTTAAGATGTCTGATATCTGTCTGGAGACTTGACTGTTAAGACGTCTGATATCTGTGTGTAGACATGAAATTTAAGATGTCTAATATCTGTATGTAGACATGACAGCAAAGACTTCTGATATCTGTGTGTAGTTATTACAGTTAAGATGTCTGATATCTGTGTGTAGACATGACAATTAAGATATCTGATATCTGTGTGTAGACAATACAGTTAAGATGTCTGATATCTGTCTGTAGACATGACTGTTAAGATATCTGATATCTATGTGTAGACTTGACAGTTAAGATGTCTGATATCTGTGTGTAGACATGACAGTTAAGACATCTGATATCTATATGTAGTTATTACAGTTAAGATGTCTGATATCTGTGTGTTGACATGACAATTAAGATGTCTGATATCTGTCTGTAGACATGACTGTTAAGATGTCTGATATCTATGTGTAGACTTGACACTTAAAATGTGTGATATCTGTCAGTAGACTTGACAGTTAAGATGTCTGATATCTGTTTATAGACATGACATTTAAGATGTCTGGTAACTGTGTGTAGACATTACAATTAAGATGTGTGATATCTGTCTGAAGATATTACAGTTAAAATGTCTGATATCTGTGTCTAGACATGATAGTTAAGATGTCTGATATCTGTCTGGAGACATGACTGTTAAGACGTCTGATATCTTTGTGTAGACTTGACACTTAAGATGTGTGATATCTGTCAGTAGACTTGACAGTTAAGATGTTTGATATCTGTTTATAGACATGACATTTAAGATGTCTGATATCTGTATGTAGTTATTACAGTTAAGAGGTCTGATATCTGTGTATAGACATGACAATTAAGATGTCTGATATCTATGTGTAGACTTGACAGTTAAGATGTCTAATATCTGTTTATAGACATGACATTTAAGATGTCTGATAACTGTGTGTAGATATTACAATTAAGATATGTGATATCTGTCTGAAGATATTACAGTAAAAATGTCTGATATCTGTGTGTAGACTTGCCAGTTAAGATGTCTGATATCTGTTTATAGACATGACAGTTAAGAAGTCTGATATCTGTGTGTGGACATTACAGTTTAGACATCTGATATATGTCTGTAGACATTTCAGTTAAAATGTCTGATATCTGTGTGTAGACTTGACAGTTAAGACATCTGATATATGGGTGTAGATATTACAGTTAAAATGTCTGATATCTGTGTGTAGACTTGACAGTTAAGATGTCTGATATCTGTGTGTAGACATGACAGTTAAGACATCTGATATCTGTGTGTAGTCATTACAGTTAAGATGTCTGATATCTATGTGTATTTTAAAAAAGCTCTGTATTCTTGAGAGTGCTGTAATTTAAAAGGCTTTGTATCCTTGTTACGAGTGCTGTATTGTGTTTTTTGAAGGCCCTGTATCATTGTTGAAATTGCAGCATTTTGAAAAGGCTCTGTATCATTGTTGAAATTGCAGCATTTTGAAAAGGCTCTGTATCCTTGAGAGTGCTGTAGTTTGGAAGGCTTTGTATCCATGTTGAGAGTGCTGTATTTGAAAAGGCTCTGAATCCATGTTGAGAGTGCTGTATTTTGTTTGGAAGGCTCTGAATCCATGTTGAGAGTGCTGTATTTGAGAAGGCTCTGTATCCGTGTTGAGAGTGCTGTATTTTGGAAGGCTTTGTATCCTTGTTACGAGTGCTGTATTGTTTTTTTTTTGAAGGCTCTGTATCATTGTTGAAATTGCAGCATTTTGAAAAGGCTCTGTATCCTTGAGAGTGCTGTAGTTTGGAAGGCTTTGTATCCATGTTGAGAGTGCTGTATTTGAGAAGGCTCTGAATCCATGTTGAGAGTGCTGTATTTTGTTTGGAAGGCTCTGAATCCATGTTGAGAGTGCTGTATTTTGGAAGGCTTTGTATCCGTGTTGAGAGTGCTGTATTTTGTTTGGAAGGCTCTGAATCCATGTTGAGAGTGCTGTATTTTGTTTGGAAGGCTCTGAATCCATGTTGAGAGTGCTGTATTTGAGAAGGCTCTGTATCCGTGTTGAGAGTGCTGTATTTTGGAAGGCTTTGTATCCGTGTTGAGAGTGCTGTATTTTGGAAGACTCCGAGTCTTTCTTGAGAGTGCTGTATTTTGGAAGACTCTGAGTCTTTGTTGAGGGTTCTGTATTTGAGAAGGCTTTGTATCCGTGTAGAGAGTGCTGTATTTTGAAGCCTCTGTATCCTTGTTGAGACTGCTGTATTTGAGAAGGCTCTGAATCCCTGTTGAGAGTGCTGTATTTTGGAAGTCACTGTATCCGTGTTGAGAGTGCTGTATTTTGGAAAGGTCTTAATCCTTGTTGAGAGTGCTGTATTTTAGAAGGCTTTGTATCCGTGTTGAGAGTGCTGTATTTGAGAAGGCTCTGAATCCCTGTTGAGAATACTGTATTTTGGAAAGCTCTGAATCCTTGTTGTGAGTGATGTATTTTGGAAGGCTTTGTATCCTTGTAGTGAGTGCTGTATTTTGGAAGGCTTTGTATCCGTGTTGAGAGTGCTGTATTTGAGAAGGCGCTGTATCGGTGTTGAGAGTGCTGTATTTTGGAAGGCTTTGTATCAGTGTTGAGAGTGCTGTATTTTGTTCTGAAGGCTCTGTATCCATGTTGAGAGTGCTGTATTTTGGAAGGCTTTGTATCCGTGTTGAGAGTGCTGTATTTGAGAAGGCTCTGAATCCCTGTTGAGAGTGCTGTATTTTGGAAGTCACTGTATCCGTGTTGAGAGTGCTGTATTTTGGAAAGCTCTGAATCCTTGTTGTGAGTACTGTATTTTGGAAGCCTCTATAACCTTGTTGAGAGTGCTGTATTTTGGAAGGCTCTGTAACCTTGTTGAGAGTGTTGTATTTTGGAAGACTCTGAGCCTTTGTTGATAGTGCTGTATTTTGAAAGGCTGTGTAACCCTGTTGAGAATGCTGTATTTTGGAAGGCTCTGTAACCTTGTTGAGAGTGCTGTATTTTGGAAGGCTCTGTATCCTTGTTGTGAGTGCTGTATTATGAAAGGCTCTGAATCCTTGTAGAAAGTGCTGTATTTTGGAAGGCTTTGTATCCCTGTTGAGAGTGCTGTATTTTGTTCTCAAGGCTCTGTATCCATGTTGCGAGTGCTGTATTTTGGAAGGCTTTGTATCCGTGTTGAGAGTGCTGTATTTTGGAAGGCTCTGTATCCTTGTTGTGAGTGCTGTATTTTGGAAGGCTATGTATCCTTGTTGTAAGTGCTGTATTTTGGAAGGCTCTGTAACCTTGTTGAGAGTGCTGTATTTTGGAAGGCTCTGTAACCTTGTTGAGAGTGCTGTATTTGGGAAGGCTCTGTATACTTGCTCAGAGTGCTCTTTTTCAACTGGCTCTATTTCCCTGTTGCTGCTGGATTTAATTAGAGTGACTTATATTGTTTTATTTAATGTCCCAATAGTTGATCAGTGTGATGTCATTTATTGTGGTTGACATTCAGTGTTGAATTCTGATGTATAACAATAGATATGCTGTCTGAAGCAGTCTTAGCTGTTATAGCTGATCATTTGGTGTTGATACCAGTAATTGGAACCATGAGTATGTTTGAAACTTACTAGCACTGCATTGTTGTATAATTTGTTCCCAACACTAAACTTTTAATGAATTCCTTTAGACATGTAATCATTTGCATTTAAAATGTCTTTTCACATTTATTTCAGTTGAGTAAGAGGACAGACGGTGTCCGTGAGAGCCAGCTTAAAAGCAGCAATCTTTGTCACTTTGCTGGAATCCTTCATGCAATGCAAGTGATACCAGATGTTGTTTGTCTGATGAAGGCTTTCCACTCGCCCAACAGAACCAACAGCCGCCATATTGACATTGTGGCAGGCCAAGGTCAAGTGTGGGTCAAGGTCATTGCCAGGAAGGCTCAGGCATTACACCTCATATGGGCAGGTAACACTAAGGTTTAATTAAAAGAATTACACTTTGGTTTCAATTTTATTCAGTTTTATAGAATAAAGCAAAACAAATTGTAGTAACACTTCATAGATAAACATTGTACTTAAGATTTCAAAATGGAGTTGTGGGTTATAAATAATCAAAACTTTATTTGGGAATTGAATCATTTTAAAGAGACAATACTGGGATAGTAAGATATCTTATTTATGAGATTGTGTTGATTTTAAGTGTCATCTTGTTTAAAAGGTTGTGTTGATTTTTAGTGTCGTCTTATTTCAGAGGTTGTGTTGAATTTTAGTGTCGTCTTATTGGAGAGGTTGTGTTGATTTCTAATGCGACCTGATTTGAGAGACTGTATTTATTTTTAGCTCACCTGTCCCAAAGGGGCAAGTGAGCTTATGTCTGTAGTGATTTTTAGTGAGATCTCATTTGACATGGTGTATTGATTTTTAGTGTGGTCTTATTTGAGCAGTTTGATGGATGGCTTTTCAGGTTTAAGACGTTAAGATGTGAGTGGATGAATCTGGTTCTGAACACAATACTGTTGAGATGTGTAACATCAACACATTTGTTGATGGGTGTGAAGATGCTCTTTGCCAAATCTGAGAAGAACTGTTACTTCTCCATCCCAGCTTTAGCAGCATAGCACTAAAGGCTTGGATAATCTAACGAAAAACAGCCTTGTTGTTTTTAGCTGTGATGCTTTATTGAATATTGGCTTGCTGGTAGAGAATTTTGTTCGGCATAGCCTTATAACCTTCTGGGAAATCGTGATACAAACCATTTCAGACCAAAGATGTAATGGCATTTATGATGACAATATCACTTGTAGCAAATATGATAATTATATTTTGACTTGACCTTACCTTTATAATACATATTTGTATGTCTCTGTAAAGTACAACATTTGGTACTATATAGATGATAATAGCAAACAGCTTCAAACTAGCAGAAGTAAGTGATCATTATTAGCTATGAGTATATTCAACAATAAGAATTGTCAGCAGTTCCTGATATTTGATATTTGTGTACACTTCAAAAGGACCTGTCAGTGGTTCCTGTTTTTTGGTATTTGTGTATATTTCAGTAAGATTTGTAAGTGGTTCCTAGTATTTGCGGTGGTGAGAGACCTAGAGTGGTATTGGTGGTGAGAGACCTGGAGTGGTATTGGTGGTGAGAGACCTGTAGTGGTATTGGTGGTAAGAGACCTGTAGTGGTATTGATGGTGAGGGACCTGTAGTGGTATTGGTGGTGAGAGACCTGTAGTGGTATTGGTGGAGAAGGTTTGTTGTGGTATTGGTGGTGAGAGACATGTATTGGTATTGGTGGTGAGAGACCTGTAGTGGTATTGGTGGTGAGAGACCTGTAGTAGTATGGGTGGTGAGAGACATGTAGTGGTATTGGTGGTGAGAGACATGTAGTGGTATTGGTGGTGAGAGACATGTAGTGGTATTGGTGGTGAGAGACATGTAGTGGTATTAATGGTGAGAGACCTGAAGTGGTATAGGTAATGGGAGACCTGTAGTGGTATTGGTGGTGAGAGACCTGTAGTGGTATTGATGGTGAGAGACCTGTAGTGGTATTGGTGGTGAAAGACCTGTAGTGGTATTGTTGGAGAAAGACCTTGAGTGATATTGGTGGTGAGATACCTGTAGTGGTATGGGTGGTGAGAGACCTGTAGTGGTTTCGGTGTTGAGAGACCTGTAGTGGCATTGGTGGTGAGAGACCTGTAGTGGTATTGGTTGAGAGAGACCTGTAGTGGTATTGGTGGTGGGAGACCTGTAGTGGTATTGGTGGTGAGAGACCTGTAGTTGTATTGGTGGTGGGAGACCTGTTGTTGTATTTGTGGTGAGAGACCTGTAGTGGTATTGGTGTTGAGAGACCTGTAGTGGTTTTGGTGATGAAAGACCTGTAGTGGTATTGGTGGAGAAAGACCTGGAGTGGTATAGGTAATGGGAGACCTGTAGTGGAATTGGTGGTGAGAGACCTGTAGTGGTATAGGTGGTGAGAGACATGTTATGGTATTGGTAGTGAGAGACCTGTAGTGGTATTGATGGTTGGAAGACCTGTAGTGGTATTTGTGGTGAGGGACCTGTAGTGATATTGGTGGTGAGAGACCTGAAGTGGTATTGGTGGTGAGGGACCTGCAGTGGTATTGGTGTTGAGAGACCTGTAGTGGTATTGATGGTGGGAGACCTGTAGTGGTATTGGTGGTGAGAGACGTGTACTGGTATTGGTGGAGAAAAACCTGAAGTGGTATAGGTAATGGGAGACCTGTAGTGGTATTGGTGGTGAGAGACCTGCAGTGGTATTTGTGGTGAGAGACATGTAGTGGTATTGGTAGTGAGAGACCTGTAGTGGTATTGGTGTTGAGAGACCTGTAGTGATATTGATGGTTGGAAGACCTGTAGTGGTATTTGTGGTGAGGGACCTGTAGTGATATTGGTATTGTTGGTGAGAGACCTGTAGTGGTATTGGTGGTGAGAGACCTGTAGTGGTATTGGTGGTGAGAGACATGTAGTGGTATTGGTGGTGAGAGACCTGTAGTGGTATTGGTGTAGTGGTATTGGTGGTGAGAGTGTAGTGGTATTTGTGGTGAGAGACCTGTAGTGGTATTGGTGGTGAGAGACCTGTAGTGGTATTGGTGGTGAGAGACATGTAGTGGTATTGGTGGTGAGAGACCTGTATGTAGTGGTTTTGGTGGTGAGAGACCTGTAGTGGTATTGGTGGTGAGAGACCTGTAGTGGTATTGGTGGTGAGAGACCTGGTGGTATTGGTGGTGAGAGACCTGTAGTGGTATTGGTGGTGAGAGACCTGTAGTGGTATTGGTGGTAGGGGAGACCTGTAGTGGTATTGGTGGTGAGAGACCTGTAGTGGTATTGGTGGAGAGAGACCTGTAGTGGTATTGGTGGTGGGAGACCTGTAGTGGTATTGGTGGTGAGAGACCTGTAGTGGTATTGGTGGAGAGAGACCTGTAGTGGTATTGGTGGTGAGAGACCTGTAGTGGTATTGGTGGAGAGAGACCTGTAGTGGTATTGGTGGTGGGAGACCTGTAGTGGTATTGGTGGTGAGAGACCTGTTGGTATGGTAATGGGAGACCTGTGGTGAGAGACCTGTAGTGGTATTGGTGGTGATAGACCTGTAGTGGTATTGGTGGTGAGAGACCTGTAGTGGTATTGGTGGTGGGAGACCTGTAGTGGTATTGGTGGTAAGAGACCTGTAGTGGTATTGGTGGTGGGAGACCTGTAGTGGTATTGGTGGTGAGAGACCTGTAGTGGTATTGGTGGTGAGAGACCTGTAGTGGTATTGGTGGTGGGAGACCTGTAGTGGTTTTGGTGGTGATAGACCTGTAGTGGTATTGGTGGTGACAGACCTTTAGTGTTATTGGTGGTGAGAGACCTGTAGTGGTATTGGTGGTGAGAGACCTGTAGTGGTATTGGTGAGAGACCTGTAGTGTAGTGGTATTGGTGGTGAGAGAGACCTGTAGTGGTATTGGTGGTGGGAGAGACCTGTAGTGGTATTGGTGGTGAAAGACCTGTAGTGTAGAGACCTGTAGTGGTATTGGTGGTGAGAGACCTGTAGTGGTATTGGTGGTGAGAGACATGTAGTGGTATTGGTGGTGAGAGACCTGTAGTGGTATTAGTGGTGAGAGACCTGTAGTGGTATTGGTGGTGAGAGACCTGTAGTGGTATTGTAGTGGAGAGAGACCTGTAGTGGTATTGGTGGTGAGAGGTAGTGATATTGGTGAAGAAGAGACCTGTAGTGGTATTGGTGGTGACAGACCTGTAGTGGTATTGGTGGTGAGAGACCTGTAGTGGTATTGGTGGTGGGAGACCTGTAGTGGTATTGGTGGTGAGAGACCTGTAGTGGTATTGGTGGAGAGAGACCTGTAGTGGTATTGGTGGTGGGAGACCTGTAGTGGTATTGGTGGTGAGAGACCTGCAGTGGTGTGGGTGGTGAGAGACATGTAGTGGTATTGGTAGTGAGAGACCTGTAGTGGTATTGGTGTTGAGAGACCTGTAGTGGTATTGGTGGTGAGAGACCTGTAGTGGTATTGGTGGTGGGAGACCTGTAGTGGTATTGGTAATGGAGAGACCTGTAGTGGTATTGGGTGTGGGAGAGACCTGTAGTGGTATTGGTGGTGGGAGACCTGTAGTGGTATTGTTGGTGAGATACCTGTAATGGTATTGGTGGTGAGAGACCTGTAGTGGTATTGGTGGTGAGATACCTGTAATGGCATTGGTGGTGAGAGACCTGTAGTGGTATTGGTGAGAGGTGGTATTGGTATTGGTGGGTGAGAGACATGTTATGGTATTGGTAGTGAGAGACCTGTAGTGGTATTGGTGTTGAGAGACCTGTAGTGGTATTAATGGTTGGAAGACCTGTAGTGGTATTGGTGGTGAGAGACCTGTAGTGGTATTGGTGGTGAGAGACCTGTAGTGGTATTGGTGGTGAGAGACCTGTAGTGGTATTGGTGGTGAGAGACCTGTAGTGGTATTGGTGGGAGAGACCTGTAGTGGTATTGGTGGTGAGAGACCTGTAGTGGTATTGGTGGTGAGAGACCTGTAGTGGTATTGGTGGTAGTGGTATTGGTGGTGAGAGACCTGTAGTGGTATTGGTGAGAGAAGATTGGTGGAGAGAGACCTGTAGTGGTATTGGTGGTGAGTGACCTTGTAGTGGTATTGGTGGTGAGAGACCTGTAGTGGTATTGGTGGAGAGAGACCTGTAGTGGTATTGGTGGTGTGAGACCTGTAGTGGTATTGGTGGTGAGAGACCTGTAGTGGTATTGTTGGAGAAAGACCTTTAGGGATATTGGTGGTGAGTACCGGTAGTGGTATTGGTTATGGCATTGGTAGTGAGAGACCTGTAGTGGTATTGGTGTTGAGAGACCTGTAGTGGTATTGGTGGTGAGAGACCTGTAGTGGTATTGGTGGTGGGAGACCTGTAGTGGTATTGTTGGTGAGAGACCTGTAGTGGTATTGGTGGTGAGAGAC